CGGATGTGGGTTAGAGATTCACGCGAATGAAGACGCCACAGCAAAACCTCCAGCCTGTGATGCTGGGTGAAAATTTAATACAATCAAGTCTCTACAGAGCACAGATGCTAACTCAAAGCCCTGCAGCAAGCCTCCAGGTCCCAGCATGCTATTAAAACACACAGAGAGAGATAGAGAAAGAGAGAGAGAGATGCTGGGAGGAAACGGTTGGCTCAGCTCCTGTCTGCACTTGCACACCAGATGCGCTCTGCCTCAGCGCTGGAATGTGTTTGTGAGAGCAGTTTAACCACTGACCCGCCCAGCCATTACCACAGAAATCTGATCCCCTCAATCCACTCAGCCTCCTCCTCGACGTGTGTGCGTGCCTGTGTGCGTTCCTCACTTACTCATTTTGTTTCCTCTATCTTTTTTCCTCCTTTATCTACTTTTTCTTTCCAAGATGTCCCGTTCCGAACTTCTCGAAGCTTGATATCATTCAGAACGCTCCTCAAACTGAGGCAAACATATGCTGCTTCTAACTTGACCTCAGACACGCATTCACTTTGATTGTATTTTATTGGTACCCATGAACCGTGACATGGCAATAAAATAAAATTTGATATGACTTAAAGAGATTCATTCCATCAAGTTGAAACTTGCCAAAGGAAAAGTCAAAGTATTTCTGTCTTCCTGCAGTTTCTTTTAAATCCTGACCTCCTCCTAATTTTCTCTCTATGAAAAAGCAACTTTTCTGAACACTGTGTTCAAATGTTCCTAAATGAACATACTATCCACGTCTTTCCTGATGGACTTCTCCTTGTTCTCTTTTACTGACCACAGCTACGGATAGTTAAGACAGCGTGACTGTGATTAAAAGCAAAATGTTATTGTAGAGGATGCTTCTTTTGGTTAATGATGTGCGCAAATCAGGCCTTTTCTCAGAAAAGTGTTTCCAGCAATCACAGAAAATCATTGCAGCAGGACAATTTCTGAATTCTCTTCAATTAACTTGCATGATTTAATTTAACATATTTATGAATGACATTTTACAAATATGCACATATTTCTTTCTCATTTCTAATCTGGACTGCAGTGTGAAGTGTAGTTTAAAGTTTGTGCTTGAGGATCATCTTTTTCCACAGATGCTCAGGAGATCTGTTCTCACTGAGCTCTATAGCTTTTATATCCAGCTCTAACATTTCAGCTGATCTCTTCTTTATCTGTCATAAGACTCTCTAATGCTCATCCAAGAAGAACTGTCTTCTATCCAACTATTCCAACCTCTCTTCTCTTGGCTCTTCTCTCTTACTTTATGTGAGGCTTTACACCGCACTCTCATTAGCCCGTCAGGAATCAAACAGTTCAGGAATGTCAGCAAAGGACCAAAAACGTCTCACAAATGTAAAATAATATTCACAAACTGAGGCAACAACGCATGAACGTGAATATAATCAGTACAGTGTACTGACAAAAGCACTAATAATGGGTGCCTGTAAAAAGTGTTGTGCTTTAAAAGAAAGACATGTAATTCTTAATAATTTACTCGTAAACAAATGATATTTTCCAATAAGGCTATAAGAAAGTGATTGTGATATGCATTAGCTTTTGTAGAAAATAACCATGGGAAGGAAAAGGGGAAGAAAGATGAAACACTATAGCTGAATAAAGGTGCTACAAACTCACAGATAACTCAAAAATAAACACATGCATGCTGACTGAAACTTAACTCTAGCCTAACGTCTCATTGAGCTTCACGTGATTTTTTTTTCTAAAACTTTATCTTAGATAGTCAGATAATCAAGATTACAGTTTGGGTATAAAGTCTGTTAGTCCTTTTTGGTTAACTGACATTTATCTTCAACAGATTTCTGGCTCTTCAGTTCAAATGAACTCACCTCTCTCCTTGCAGTGACTAATCAATAAAACCAGAGACTGAGTATTAAGCTCAGGAACTACAAATGTTTACTTTGAGACTTGGGAAGCTGCACTGATATAGAAGAAAACCATAGAGTATCAGAGTAATACTGCTTTACTTACTCACAAGAAGCCTGAACTTCAATGATTCTGTTTCTGGCAAATGCATAAAAATAAAATAAAATAAGTAAACACATCAGTAAGTAAGCAGGTAAGAAAATAAATAAATAAATAAATGGTGAAAATACTGTTCTCATGAACACGACCCAGCATAATATCTTCAGTTAATTTTTCACAGATGTGAAATAAACCGAAAACATGCAGCAACTGGGATTATTAAAATTTACAGCTGACTAATAAAACATCAAATCTTTAAAAACATGTTTATTTGTGCTTTTTTATGTGTAAATCAATGTAATATTCACTCTTTGATTGAGTACACTTTTAGAAAGTCACTTTCACTTTTACTGAGGCAGTTTTGTCAGAGGGGACTCCAGCACTTTCCAGTGTTCAGGAATGACAGCGGTACAGAGCTGAGTGTTATGCTTCAGTTATTTAGCCACTGAGGAATGACAATGACTTGCTTTAACTTCTCTATTTATAGTACAGTCTTCTCTGCTGCCCAGACAACATATGCGTTAGTATGTAATAGTGTAAGCTCTTTAAATAATGCCTGCTATTATATTACATATAGCCTGTATTTTTATTGTAAAGGGCACGTTTGAGCTGAATGTGTTGAGCTACTCAGCAAATAGCTAATATAGTAACTTGGTAACTAATAACATTTTACTATTGTAGAAACCTTATGGATTAATACCCATCACTAGCCATAATAAACTGATGGCGGTAATAGTGATTTGACTGTGTACGGTAGAAGAGCAGCTTTTGCTGAAAGAAATGAGGCAATGCTGACCCCTAGCGTCTACACCCCCAATTGCAGCAATATGATCCAGCTGACATTTGACGGTTGTTTGAATAATAGCGGCGTTCATGTGAACTCCTTTCAATACCACTGCATGAATGACGTTGAGATGGTCCACATAATCAGTTTTTACATACAACATAACTAAGAAGTGATATTACTTATCACTCAGTTTCACACAAAAGCATGTGTCTAAAAGCTACGTAGATTAGAAAGTCAATATTTCTGCACAGCACTTCCGCTGACAGGACACAGAGCAATTGTAAGTGATATGCATTCAGCATATAAGGTCACGGCCGTTTCCAGCTGCCTCTCGTATCGGTTAGGCTACAGGCAAAACTCTGCTCCAGGTGAGGCTCGAACTCACAACCTCGGCATTGCTCTGCAATGTACTGTCATATAAGTACCGCGCGCTAACCGATTGCGCCACTGGAGCTCTGGTCTCGGCGCGGACTAACACAGGTTACAATCGTGAAACACAATGTGTCCATTTACAGAACTGAGCACTGTTCCTAAGTCAGAAAGGTCTCGCCTACAGTAACAATGCGTTCATTTCTACAGGGATTTCTTACAGTAAATTCAGACAGTCACTGTAGTTTACTACAGGATACTACACAAGCACTATATATTGCTATAAGAAAGTACAGCAATATTATACGAAATTAGAGAAGTACTATAATTACATTACCACAGAAACCTTATCTAAATACCCGAAAAGCTTTTTTTGTAAGGGAAATGTTATGTTTGTCGGCCGTGCAGTCTTCAGGCTGGTAGAGTTTAACACAAAATTAAGTACAAAACAGGGTCGTAACGAACTGAATCAAACTGACAGGCTCTCTATCAGGTAAGACTAACCAGTAACCTGCAAAAGACGTGCTATACTTATAATTTTGCGCCCCAATAATATCCATTACAGCACACTTTCCCTTCTTCCCTTAACAGTGCTTAACGCACATCTGTCACAACACTGCCGGAAGAGAGGAGAAACAGAGGGCGTGTCGCTACACAGCCTTCAGACTATAGGGTCATATTTTGTTTTACTTTGTTAGCTTTGTCAAGGTTTTAGCAAATAAATATCAGAAGAAATTATTTCAGTTTGTGTTTCTCAGCAATAAAACCAAAGCGTACTGGTTGTTTTACTTTCCTAGCGTTTTATTATTATTATTATTATTATTATTATTATTATTATTATTATTATTTTATTATTATTATTATTTTTATTTTTTTTTGGATGACGGGGAAAACACTACCATATATCAATCCTGGAATTTCAGCAATATTACGAAAACGACTGCTGGAGTGACTGTGTAGAGGTAAGTATTAATGAAAAGAAACTGATGAACTCAAAATGATGTTCAAATGGCTTTTAAAAGGACCCAAACATCTAATTATAGTTTGAATATAGATTACAGCTTGATAGTGGAGCATTAAAACTCGTCTCCAGGACCAACATTTCACTGTGGTTCATTTTGCCAGAAAGTGACCAAAGCTATATCACATATCACATCATCAAATAATGAATAAACTAACTGCTGGAAATTGACTAACTGTCAATTTCTCTGTTATTTATTATTCTTTTCATTATGAAATCATTGCTCATTTTTTACCCATTGATAATTGTTATGGACCTTTCCTATCTCTCTATTTGTTATTACGGTTCCAACTGATTTGACTTAAGTTACCCTGTTTGACTTTATTTAATTAATCATTTGACTATTTATTTACATATTTATTCTCAGCTGAAAATGTATGTTGATACCTTTACTAAATTAAATAGATTGTATTTAATTTATCTCTCTTTGTCTCTTTTCTCTCTAGCATCTTAGTTTTTCATTACTGAAAAAGCATACATTTAACATACTGTGGCGTTCACCGCTATTAAGAGAGACACAGCTTTTACACAAGTCGTCGTGCTTTATTATCCAGCTGTTGTTGGCCAAAGTTACGCTGTACATAAGCAGAGCTTTTTCTAACAGCCCGCTCTCTGCCTCAGCTCACGTCTGACTCTCAGCTACAAAGATTATATACAAGGTAAATCAAGATGGTGCATGTCAATTCAAGTGAATGGGGCAACAAAGGTTTCAGTTCCTGTCTGCTTAAGTCTTGCGTCAGGCTCTTCACCATGCGTCTGCGATCCCGGAACTATTACGGTGGTGTGGGCTAATCACATCCCCATGGCTACTGCACTTCCCCTGGTTTCTGGTCAAGATTTTCCAGCATTTACACTCTTGCGCCAGTCTGCTGCACCACTTAAGGTGGAACGGAAAATTCGAAGAAGCCAACTTCAGCTTTATGATCCACATCATTTTGCTGCCTTTTCCGTAAGTTTTTTTTTGGTCGTTTTGATATTTGTTGTCATCTAAATTCAATTCAAACTAGCGGCTGTTTTCTCTGACTTGATTAGGACTCGGGACTTGACTTTAGACTTGCCTGTACTGGCTGGGGGCTTGACTTGAGACTCAAGTGTCAAGTCAAGTCAAGTGAAGAGGGTTTTTTGCCATTCCATCTATGTACAAGTACACAGTGGAGTGAAATTACAGTGCAACATGGAACAGAATAGACAGTACACAAAACAGACAGTACAAGTCAAGAGTGTCTTGACTTGCAACTTGACTTGGAACTTGAGTGTCAAGATTTGAGTGACTTGTTCCGACCTCTGGTGCTGCATACCTGAACATCTCAAGAAGCCAAAGTCACTCAGGGTAATGTTAATGCATTGTCTGGTACAGAGATACCACAGCATACCGTTACATCTGTGACCAAAACACAGCTGTTCTGAGGTCACCTTAGAAAGAATCACCACCTGGTTGGGTATTCTCATCGCCGTTTTCCACACTGAATCTCATCATTTAACCCTTCCGAAACTACCAAGGGACTCTGAACCTCTGAGTCTTTATGCTAGTCACAAACATGACAGGCGCTGATAAGAAGGCTTGATGCAATGGCGGATAGCAACAAATACTACACAGTGATTGGAGGGCTGAGGAAAATAAGGTGGAGTTTGGCAGAGAGTAATGATTTTGATTGGCCATTAGACACTGACAGTGATCAGATAAATAAATCAATTTTCACTATCTCAAAAAATGCAGCACAATAAATATCCCATCTGCATTTGGTTAGGTAGGCCTGCCCCTGAGTAGGCTAATGCATTATTAGAACTGCGCTGCTATATTAAATCTCTCTGGACCTCAGTATTCTCATAGCTAGTTCCTGCCATGCTAATCTTGCATAAGTAGTGAAAACACCCTTCTTGCAATATTGCACTGGTTGCACGTTTCCTGTAGAATTGATTTCTTAATTAATTTCCTTAAAAGTGATAAATAGCCTACTACCTTGAAATATTACAGAGCGTCTGATGGATTATACTCCAATTAAGACTCATTAAGGCCATTAAAATTCTTCCTGAACATTCCTAGAGTAAAATATTAGAAAAGTGGTGTGCAACTTTGTGTTGTTCTAGTACGCAAATCAGATGCCCTCTGTAAATAATTTAATAAATACTTTAAATTGTATGCATTTACCATAGCCTTTAAGTAGTTTTGTGTGTGTGTTTGTTTGGAAAGACAATCTTACTTCAATTTAAGCCATCGTTATTTCATTCAAGTAACAATACCTTTATTTGGGTATTAGTTAAGGTTACTGTTTTCACTTCTGTACATGTAGAAGCACAGATGTGATTGTAATGTCTGATAATATAACACTTGAAGCAAAGGGTTTAATGACTCACATGGTACCCTTTTTGTTGTTATATAGAACTAAAAGTGTTCTTAAAGAGCCATATACGACTGTTCTTTCATCATGGAGAAGAACCATTTGACAATGCAAAGAACCATTTATGCATCCAGTGGTTTTTTGAGTGTTTATGGTTGTATATAGAACCATGGTCTTTACTAAAGAACCCCTGATGAACCTTGTTGTTATAAAGAGTATGCATTCATCTGTATATTTATGATGCCTCTCCTAATGGAGGAAATCCATTTTGTAATTCTACATTAGAATATGTAAATTCTGAAGTTGCAGTTCTGAGAGTAGACACCTTTATTTAAACACTTGTAATAGACTACCCCTTCATTCAACTTGAGTTTGAAAAAGAATGTGTCAGTCACTGGAGGCTACAATCACCAGTTACATTGGTAAACTTTGAATATGCAAAATGATGTTAGCAGAACGTATTACACTTTTTGCCTTATAATTACATTTTGTATACTCAGACTTGTTGTTTACAGTATGTGACATTTTTGCCAATCATTTTATATTAATTGAAAATTTGACAGTTTAGGGACTGATGGTGGATCCTTGCTGCTGTTTACAAAGTGAAGTCAACGCTGTGCAACATGAGCAACAACACCACTTGCATGGAAGCTCAAGACCTTGTAGCCTCTGCGTTAGCACCAATGCTGATCTTGGAGCTCATCTTGGGGATACCAGGAACCGTCTTAGCGTTATGGATCCTTGGTTTCAAGGCTGCCTGGAAGTCCAGTACGGTTTACCTCCTCAACTTGGCGCTGGCTGATGTTCTGCTGCTCATTGGCCTTCCTTTCCGCATCGACAGTGTGATCCGTGGAAGTTGGATTTTTCACGACGTCTTTTGCCGCATCAACCTGTTTATGCTGTCAGTTAACCAGTCAGCAAGTATTGCCTTCATGACTGTTATGGCAGTGGACCGATTCTTCAGGATAGTCCACCCACACCACACCATTTGTCACCTAAGCATTCGGCGCATAGTAATGATCAGCTGTGTGGTCTGGGTTGCTGTGGTGACCCTTCGTCTTCCTCTGCTGGTGACCCAGCTCTTGAGATCATCTGAGAACTTATCTGTGTCTCTTTGTTATAATATTTACATGTGGACAGAGTCTGGGGTAGGAATGAAGGTGCATAATTTTCTCCATGTGGCGGAATTCATCCTGGCCTTCATATTGTTACTCGTTTGCTCTGTGCGCATCTATTACCACATACGTGATAACACCCGACTCAGAGAGCATCGCAGAGTTAAACGGACAGTAAACCTACTTCTGACTCTTGTGATCATGTTTACCTTCTGCTTCCTGCCCAGTTACATCACAGGCCTAGTGGCTCTCTTCCTCAAAGATGTCTCCTCATGCTCCCCATATCTAGTGGTGGGCAAGCTGTTCAGTGTGTCTTTAATTCTCGGCTACTTAAACTGCGCTCTAGACCCCATCCTCTACTGCTTATCAAACGCTTGTTTCCGTAATACAATGAAAGGAGTGGCCAACTCCACTGGATTCACCAAGTTCCAACTGAGTGTTAAGGAAACCAGATCACCTAGACATACCTAGAGAACTTATTATGACCAACTGTGCAAACTGTATTTGTATTGAAAGTAACAATATTGTGAAGTACTACATTTGCATGCTTTTTTTATTTAAACGGCCTACATCCTGTTAGTTCCTCCCTTGCCATGCTTTTTATTTTTCCCACTTATAATTGTGTGGTTTTACATACCAAAACCACTACATGACCATTTTCCAACCTCACTTCATCCCTTAGAATTAAACAGGTGGTTTCTGTTACTGTGCCTTTAACAGTGATATATGTGTATGAGCTCTGTTCTAATTGGCTGCCTTGTATTGTGCCTCATTCAAAAAAGCAGTTTGAGCTTAGATTCCATATATAGATCATATAGACTGGGGGGTGAATGGTATGTTTTGACTTTAACAATGTTTACATACTTGTTACATTAAAAAAGATATAGGCCTTTTAAAAGGACTGATTTACTTGCAAGATTAAATATTGTTTTTCACTGTAATTTTTAGGACTTCACTGTACTACTGTGTTGTTTGGGAATATATGTCCTATACCGCTGTTAAAAAATGTATTTTTTCACTTGGATTATGATGAATAAAGATGAACTGAAAAGAAATTAGTCTAATTATACGCAACCACTTACAATCTCTATTTTTTATTCAGCATATTTCACTTAACACATGTGACATACAAGGAAACACAACATAATGTAGGAAGCGAAAAAATCAAAAATAAGTACATAGCTGATCATTATGACTGTCACATGCGTTATAAACAGCCTGGATCTGCATTAGGGAGACTCCCTTTTTGTATGTTTTTCAGATCTGAAAATTCATATGAGGGAAAAAGTAAGCTTACATTTGTGGCCAAAGTGCTAAATTCAAGTGCCATTCTTAGTTCTTTTTTTTCTGTTTTCTTTTTTTTTGCACTCTTTCTTCCTTTCATTCTGAAAGGACACATTCAACTTGATGGACTTAGGTCAGAATGCAAATCATTTCTTCTGGTTATGGATAATGCCATTCACTGTGAATGAAAGTACCCCGAAGCCATCATTCACATTGTTAGGACTACATTTGCAGCAAAACTTTAGTACTGTCGATCTTCCTGGCCAGTCGGTGCTCCTGAATATATATATATGTATAGTAGTCACAAAGAGTAAAATGGACCTCCACTGATCAGTACAGTCAGAAACACATTACATTGTCTTAAGTACAAAACAAGATCATAATTAACTGTATCAAATTGACAGGCTCTCCAACAGATAAGACTATTGCTTAAACTGGAGGATAACCAGTAACTTGCAAGGGCCATGCTATACACATAATACTGTCCTCCAGTAATGTCCAGTACAACACACTATCTGTTCTCTCAAACAGAGTTGAAAACAGCTCACATACTGTCATAATATTCACAGAAGGTAAGAGAAATAAAGGGTTTCAATGCAGCAATAAATGAAATTACAAAAACAAAAGAGCACACAAATACTTTTCAGAAGAGTCTATTTGAAAATACTGACATTTCACCTGACTACTGCCTCGTAAGAACCCTGTAAGCTCAATCCATACAGCCACAAAGTATTAGGTTATCAAAGAAGATCAGCAATGTTCACAGCTTAAAGAAGTTGCCAGAGCAAAGCTTTGCTGAGACGTAAGGGAGCACTAAGGGTGCTCTTAGTGAAGGTGTGTGAGGGCATAGTGGACAGTGTTAGTTAAGGATGCTTCTTGGAATGCTTTAGGGCCGTTTCTGTAGTCCTGTAGAGGGCAAGGCTTGGAAACCAAAGGAGCCATTTAAGGATGTGTAGCCAGTGTCGTAGGGTTAGAGAGAGAATTCAAAGAGAAAGAGAAAGGGGCAGGCAGTTGAAACGAGACAGACAAGGGTCAGTCGTGGATAACAATTGGGCCTCGCATCCGTAGACTAGGGTGAGGGGGCACAAGCACAGGCCCCTGCGCTGGCCCCTGGGGGACCCTGCGCAGGTTGATCTGCTCGCACGGCTGCCTACAGGCTCTTCTTAACTGCGAACGAGAGAGCAGCCTCCTGGCTTTCCTGAGACCAAAAGAGAACAGGACATAATGACTGTTCACTCACCAAACCTTTTGTGATGAAGACTGAAGTATGTAAAATAACAGTGCAGCAGAAAACAGAAGTGTTTCAGACAGCATCGAGCATTTGGAAGCATCCTTACAATATTCCAATATTTCTTGTGCCTTGTAACCCAAGACTCATGCAAGAAGCATCCTGTTACATATTGCATCAGCACCAGATCATAATCTCAAAAACACTGTCAAAGCCACTGCCTGATCATTATCACAATCTCCTCATCCAATCATAAACACAATGTTCTAATGGGGCAGGAATTGAAAGCTTATCTGCAGCTTTGCTTTTGAGAGACTCATCGGATTTGTCCTTAGTGACTAAGGAACTAACTAGATATTACTGAACCCTTGTGGCAGCTCTGGGAAAAACACATAAATCTTTCTTAGTGGAATTGCAATGCTGTTATTGTATTACCGAAAGCTAATGTTGGCGTTGTGTTATCGTGACGTAGGGCATTTGTGTTTGTCTAAACCACAGAAAACTTCATTACCAACTTGCACTCCCTTGAGATTAACCTGTACTGCACTGAATGTATGCACATGCACACACAAACACAAACACAAAGTGAGAGAACAGAGGGAACAAAGATGATGCAGAAGAGCACGAACATAAAGTATTTCAATTACCATGAAACAAATTACAGTACATGTTGGTGAGATTGTTGTTTAGCAAAATATTGCAGTGTTGTAGGGTTAGGGAGCATATTTCTTTCTCTGAGAAACAGCGAATAGAAAAGAAGAAGACTTTCTACAGGTTCTGTGTCATGTGACAGTGATGGTGTTCTGAAAACAGTGTTTCCCTAAGTGCTTGTGAGCTCTGCAATATGAACCAGTGTGAACCAATGTGGCCTGATTATCTAAACATAATATAATACAAGATTGAGGCCATAATCACAATAATCAGGCGCCTGGCTCTTGTGTTCATGCAAAATGTATGAGGCTCATAGGCGCCTCGTGCCTCTGATTGGATCTAATGAGGAACCAAGGAACCATGATGTAGGCCCCAAACATCCAATCTAACAGCATATTATAGAATGAGCTGAGTATGACAGTGGGCACTTATACAGAGCCATATTCTGTAAATCACAAAGAAAAAACAAAAGCATGTGTGTGTATGTTCAGAATTTGAACATAACTACCAGGTGGATCAAATATAAATGAACTTTAATTGATTCTAAACACAGAGTGAACTTTAAACCCAGAGCTCCTTCTAGAGTGACTGAATGTGGAGGCATAAGCAGAAATACTGGTCATAAACATACTGAATGACAAATGCCTATGACTTAAAGACACTGCAGATGAATTTATGACACCCTCACTCTCTCATGGTAACACAGAGTTTCATGCTTCTTGACTGTTTTAGATGCAGAATATGTGGAAAGAGTGATTTCGCAACCTTTGTTTCCAGACAACCCCGTATGTAACCCCATATGATGATGTAAAGCATGACTGCCAGGCCCTGCCTCAGACCTGCTCTCATTTGTCTCAGCCTCTCTGAGCCCAGTTACAGGCTAATCTTTCAGAGCAGGGCCTCTAAATTTAGCCTGGCATCCGCTCCAGCACCGGGGATGAGAGTGAACGGAGCTGCGCCAGTCATGGCTCATCCGGACAGGGCATTAATGGAGAAGCATTTTCCTCCAGATTCCTCCCCAGCTCCAGCTCTCAGTGGGCTTAAACTCCACTTTCTTTGGAATGAAGTGCAACTACTATCTTCTTTAGGATAAAACGACTTTCAGCCAGGCTGCTAGATGAACCATAGTAAGAGTATAAAATCATACAGAGCAAAAGACATCAGTGAGAGGAAAATGCAGTCTGGGCTTGCCTATGATGAGTCAGACATTGCTCTCCATTTCATATGTAATGATTTGAAATGTTCAGAATCATTCTTTGAGCTGCAGACTCCACAGTTAAGCTGGTGCGGCCTCAGCCTGTCTAACATGTTGATGCGCATGTGTTTTGGTGTGGATGGAGCAGTGGGGCGGGGTCTTACCATGAGCAGGTGTCTAACGGCTGCAGCACTGAAATGAGACAAGCAGCCAGTCAATCATAGGAAGTCACAAACACACTGTGACCCATGATGCAATTGGGCATTAAAGAAAAGCTTCCTCTACATCTAGTTTACACCCCCACCCACAGATAAATAAATAAATAAATATTCATGTCAGTATTAATTTTGCAGCCTGGTTCATTTTACTTTGCATCTCATTTCCAAACAGCTCAGTGGTTACAGATCTTCAGATCTTACTGATAATCCCTTCAGAAAATGAGTACACATCTTAGTTGACAGATGTGTAGATCAGATTAAGTTGGAAGTGATGCTGTAGAACATATCTGGTAAAAATGAGCCATTAAAAGATACTTTTATCCCTTCACATTTCTATTGACTGAAAATTAACAATGTAGGATTTCATGTCACGTAATCGTTATCTGCATATTTGATATGATGCCAGCCAGAATGCTGGGGGGAAAAGTGTTCGGAATGCATTAAAGTGGACCTCCCCCCTTCATCAAGGTTCACCAGGCCAGTCAAAACAGGACTACTATGAATAATTCTGCTCAGAGCTAGCACAGAATTTCTCCACACGTGCAATAATTAAGACTTGTATGGAGTTTTTCAGATACTTTATTCTTGTTTTGGTACTAATTCATGATCACCTGCAGGTTACCTGTGGAGTCTTGTACAGCACATCCCTAGAGCTATAAATGTAAGTGAGGTCCTACAATTCCTATGATTTTCTGTTAAAAGATTCCAGAAAAATGAGCAAAGTTTTCTCCCCATGCTGCCATCATAAGCCTTGATTTCTACAGCCTACTAATTAAATAAGACAAAAAATATATTTACATTGTTAATTACAGGAACATACAGTTCCTGTAATTTGAAATTGCATGACACTTTTCAACCTGACCAACTTTGAATCAGCCTCTCTTGGCTATTACTAGTACTGGGTATGACCAATGTTGTAATTAAACATGTGCAGGCCCTGTCATTTCAATGTGTCACTGGCTGTTAACTGATGGCTGCATCAGTATGTGGGAAAATAAATTAGAGATCTCATGCCAAGTCAGTCAATAATCACCACAGGTACCAAACAAAGAGAAAAAGGGGATTCTACCTGGTCTTTGGCCTGATATACTGCTTTGCTTCTTCGTATATGAGATAGTATGAGGTCTCTGACCTGTCATGTGTTGTGTTTCCTAAACAGGAGTTATGCTCTAGCTAAGCCTCTAATTTGCTTCTCTATATATGAGCTAGTATGAGGGGGTTACCACTGGCATGTGCAGTGTCCTGAAGCATAGATGCACGAATGAAAAAGCACACAAGGAGATGCCATGATGAACATTTGTTAGGCATACCTGGTCTCCCTGGAAACAAGGAAAAAGCTGTCATCTGGTGCATCAATCCAGTTAGGCCGCCTCTTGCGCAACATCAAGTTGCTGGGTCGTAGGCTGGGGCCACTGGCGCTCCGGCCGTTATGCTGCTGAGAGAGGGGAGTAAAGAGGTGAGCAGGCAGAGAGTAATGCA